CCAATAACCAGGAGACAGTGAGTTCTAGTTCCGCCTTAGGCGTGAAATCCAGCTGGGTGACTTAGGGCCAATAACCAGGAGACAGTGAGTTCTAGTCCCACCTAGGGCCTCCCTCCAGCCCTGAATTACCCTGTGTTCCACTTAACGACTTATACGCTTGCTTAACTACCGTATCGGGGAGCACAAGGATGGCAGTTGTTAAGTGAGACGATCCACGGTCACCTCAGTTAACAACTTGTCTCAACTTGCGACCCTAACGGGTAGGCTGCATTATGGCCAGAAGGCGAGGACTGCCTGAACTAACTCAGATTCTGCCTTAGGGTGCCAAAGTATCTGCTTTAGAAAAAGAGCGAGAGAGCGAGAAAATGTGCTCGTGTTTCAGTGGGTCTGTTTTTTGTTGCACCAGCTGGCTCAATTCGACCTTGAAGTTCATTTTTGGGGTTTTAATTTGACCCTCGAATTCATTTTCCCCTAGGAAGATCACCAAGGAATTGGAAATATCATAGCATTTCTGCTGCCTTTCCTGTCCTGCTTCGGTTTGGTAAGTAACTTACATATGTACATATATTGTCTGTTTTTCTTGGGATTTAAGTGACTTAAACATGCCTCAACTTGCTGAGATGTTTTCATTGATCTCAAAGGTGGTTATTTTTTTTTCTTTCTTCCTTTCAAAAGGGAAGAGGAGGAAAATAGTTCACTTCTTATGCAGGAAGCTTCATGTGTTTTTTATACATTATATACATATGTAACGTTTTCCTCTTCTTCCTCAAATAAAGAACAATTGAGTTGTCTTTTCAAGGAAAAAAAAAGAATAGAATAGAATTCTTTTATTGGCCAAGTGTGATTGGACACACAAGGAATTTGTCTTCGGTGCAGATGCTCTCAGTGTACATAAAAGAAAAGATATATTCGTCAAGAGTCAAGAATCATCAGGTACAACACTTAATGATAGTCACAGGGTACAATAAGCAATCAAATCATAGCAATAGTGATTTATATACCTCTTTACACTGCTTTACAGCCCTCTCCAAGAGGTTTACAGTGTCAACCTATTTCCCCCAATAATCTGGGCCCTCATTTTACCCACCTCGGAAGGATGGAAGGTTAAGTCAACCTTGAGCCTGGTGGGATTCGAACTGCCCAATTGCAGTAGGAGTAGCTTGGAGTACTGTACCACTGCGCCACTGAGATTCTACTATTATACTAGGAAACAGTCAATATGAATCGTAAGGATACAAGCGACAAAGATACAGTCCTACAGTCACAAGTGGGAGGAGATGGGTGAAAGGAAGGATGGGAAGATTAATACTAATAGTAGTGCAGATTTTGTAAATAGTTGGACAGTGTGGAGGGAATTAGTTGTTTAGCAGAGTGATGGCATTTGGGAAAAAACTCTCCTTGTGTCTAGTTCTTCTGGTGTGCAGTGCTCTGTAGAGTGTCATTTTGAGGGAAGGAGTTGAAACAGTTTATGTCCAGGATGTGAGGGGTCTGTAAATATATTCACAGCCCTCTTTTTGATTCGTGCAGGATACAGGTCCTTGACTGAAGGCAGGTTGGTATCCATTGTTTTTTCTGCAGTCCTAATTACCCTCTGGAGTCTGTGTCTGTCCTGTTGGGTTGCAGAATCAAACCAGACAGTTATAGAGGCGCAGATGACAGTCTCAATAATTCCTCTGTAGAACTGGATCAACAGTTCAAAAGCACTTTTCGGACAACTGTGACCTGGATTACTGAGAATCTACATAGATTCTGATTTAATCAGTTGATAACCGACTCAGTTGATCCTGACTCCCACGCCTCCTCTTCCTCTTCCTCTGAATTGGGGCTGGCAGGCCACAATAGGGATTCACTTAACAACGATAACCACCATTGCACTTCACATCCACGTCGCTTAGCAATTCCGGTCCCGATTGCCGTCGTAAAACAAGCACTATCCATATACTGCGTTCATACCTTTGCTTACTTAACAGCCATTTTTTTCCCCCCTTTCTTTCTCAAAATTCACATTTTTGCAGTGTTACCTTTACCTGTTCTACACTTCGGCCCGGAAGGTCAAAGTCTCCATCCTTTTTGTCACGCTCTGCCTCTGCAACGTCTACCTGTACGGATTACGAAATCACTGGCAGATTCTCTTCCACATCGCTGTGGCCTCCTTTTCTTCTCACCAGATCCTGACCCGGCAGGTGGCAGAGAAACCCCCAGATTTCGGGGTATGAAAATGGGGGCGCGGGGGAGAAGGAGTTTTTTTTTTTTTTTAAAGGTCTCAGCTTTGAGAGAGGTTTATTTTAAGGCAGCTCCGAGCAGATTGACTCGTAAATTTGGGTTGGTTTTTTCCTCTCCTTTCGGTCCTTCCTCAAAATAATGCATTTTGGGAAAAAGAAAAAAAAAGAGAGAAAGAGAAAGAAAAAAAAAACTATTTTTAAGCCTTGAGAGGCAACAAAGAAAATATCTGCTTAAAAGAAGGAAGCTCGCAATCTTTTCGGATTATTTTGCGTAATCCAAGAAAAGGCCGCGGGATATGCGCGCTGAAGAAGGCACCCGTTACTGCTCTGCATTCAAGTGGAAATTCAGAGTTTTAGAGGCCTGAATTTGTTCAAGCAGAGAATAGATTCGGGAAGCCACATCTACCATGGATAATTCCGGGGAAAACCAACCTGGAAAAAAAAATCGGATGCACTGAAGACTCCCAAGTGTGTCCTAAGCTTTGTCAAAGAGAAGCCCTGGAACTTGGTTGCAACCAGCTTTGCGGGGTTTAAAGTTTAAAGCACAAGATTCTTCACTGAACAATTGAGGGTTTGGGGTATGTTGTTGTTTTTTTTACAGCCAAAGTGGCCAATTGCTGTCATAATGCACATATAATTTATTATAACATTATTTGGGGGAGGAATCGTTTGAGAAACGGACTCTTGAATCTCGTCTGCATCACACTAAATTGTAGATAAATGTATTTATATTAAGTTGGGATAGAAAAGGCAACAGCCTTGAAACACCACCAATGGTGAAGGTGCCTTCAGATGAAATATCCTGTAAAAATTACCTGTACATAGACTGTTCCTCGTTTTGAACGGAAAAAAAAAACAGCCTTGGTTACAAGGTTTCACGCTGATAATGGCATTTTTGTAGAATTTTCTCATGTATCTAGATTTCGGTTGAGTTTCTACATACAGGTGCTCGCACAGATAATAATAATAAGAGGAAAAGTCCACTGAAAAGTGTTATGTTCTTCTTAAAGTTACTTTTTCCAGTTCGACTGAGCGAGATGAATTTTTATTCCAAGCAAAAGGTAATTTATAAGGGCGCGCCCTAAGCTGGGCATTTGTTGGGTTGAATTCAGTGTAACTCCAGTGTTACTAGACCTCATGGCACGGAACACAAGATTGATGACGTTGCCTCGCTGGGTCATGAAACGTCTGCAAGAAAATGATCAAACTTGGAAGGCACCAAAGACCTCCCGGGCCTCCTCCTCTCCACAACCTCCTCACCCTTCAAGCACTGATGATGTTCTCTGGTTGGGTCATGAAACATTTCAAAGAAAACCCCCAAGGACCCCAATGTCCTCCTCCTCCCCCCTTCTCCTCTTTCTCTCCTTTTCCTCCTCCCGTCTACAAACCCCACTCTCTTCTAGCACCAATGAAGTTCCCTAGTAGGGTCATGAAACGTCTCAAAGAAAACCCCCTCAAAGAAACCAAGGACCCCACTCTCCTCCTCCCCTTTCCTCTCCTCCCCCTCTTCCTTTCCTCCTCCTCCCCTTTTCCTCTTCCTCTCCTTCCCCTCTTCCTCTCCTTCTCCCCTTTTCCTCCTCCTCTCCTCCCCCTCTTCCTTTCCTTCTCCTCCCCTTTTCCTCTTCCTCTCTTCTCCCCTTTTCCTCTCCTCCCCTTTTCCTCCTTTCCTCCTCCCCTTTTCCTCTTCCTCTCCTCCCCTTTTCCTCCCCTTTTCCTCCTCCTCCCCTTTTCCTCCTCCTCCTCTCTACAAACCCCACTCCCTGCCAGCATTGATAAAATTACCTAGCTGGGTCATGAAACATTTGCAAGAAAGAAACCAAGCTCAGAGAGCACCAAGGACCCTTGCAAACAAGTGTTGAGCAGGTTAAATGTTAACAGACCTGGGCTGGGTGTAGTCTGTCACTTCTTGTTCACTGCCAGGTTCTCGGAGTCTCTGGCTACCTCCGTGAATGTCCTAATATAGATAGTCCCATCACCCAGGTAAGTCTTAACTCTTTAATGAAATACAGGTGGGTCCTCAACTTAAAACCATTGGCTTAGTGACCATTCAAACGTACAACAGCACTGGAAAAGCAACTTAAAAGACTGTTTTTCAGTACCGTTGCAGCATTCCCCATGGTCACGTGATCAAAATTCGGACATTTGGCAACAGACTCATATATATGACGGTTGCAGTGTCCCAGGGTCATGGGATTCCTCTCTTGCAACCTGACAAGCAGGGGTGGGGGGCAAATTCACTTAATAACTGCAGGGATCCCTATAATCATAGCAAGAAGAGTCTTCAAGTTGGGGAATAATCCACTAAACCGTGGGTCTCCAATCTTGGCAATCTTAAGACTGGTGGACTTCAACTCCCAGTCTTAAAAGTTGCCAAGGTTGGAGCCCCCTGCACTAAACAGCACGGTGTTTAACAACAAATTTTGGGCTGAACTCTGGTCATAAGTCAAGGACTTCCTATGCGGTTTTTACCCTCAAATTATGACCATTAATTCAAAAACTCTTCAAAGTTACAACAGTGCTGAAGGAAGGGACTTAACAATCAATCCTCAAAAGTTTGATGAGACTTTGTGAGAAGCGGCTCTGGGTAACGGAAGGAGAAGTTTTGGGTGGCGTCGTCTTAAATCCATAATTTTCCAATTGTCTGGCTTGCAAAATCTTGCAGGTCTGCTAACTTTCCAATTGCAGGGACACGGGGAAGCTTTCAGACTTCGAAAAAGGGGATGTGGCTACCTATTTGAGCCCACCCTAAACGTCTTGACAAAGTGCCCTTTAAATTTTGTGACTTCGACTTACGACCACAAGGGAGCCCAAAGTTGTTTAGTGAAGCCGCCTTGCGCATTGACTCTGCTGATCAAAAGGTCCCCGGGACACTGCAGCGGTCATAAATATGAATCAATTGCCAAGAGCCTGAGTTTTGATCACGTGACCATGGGGATGCTGTAACGGACGTAAGTATGAAACAGTGGTCGGTTCCTTTTTTCAGTGCCATTGTAACTTCAAAAATTAAGGACTCTGTTCACACAACATTTTTCTTCAGGAAACGCAACATAGTTTTTATCGCATACAGTGCATTAAATTGTGTGTGTATGTGTGTGTGTATACACACACACACACACACACACACACAAACAAATAAATTTTAAAAATCTCTCTCCGTTGGTGCCAAGATCTGATTTTTCTCCTATCTGAATGAAAGCCAACAAATGTTAAAATTCAAAATCAACTCCCAAAAGGATCAAAGGATTTTAAAACACTTTTCAGATTTTTATTTTTAAACCGAAGAGCCTTCAGTGTGTTTCTGGTTCTCTTTGTCCACTTCTCCTTTGCACTGCGTTCAAAAGACTCGGCTTCTAATATCTGGGGGGAATAAAGGTTTCATTTGTAAATTCGAAGAGGAATCAATAAGAAGAGTAAATTCCATTTTCGACACCTATTTGTGAGTGATGTTTTCTGCCTCTCTTCGCTTTGATCTCCGGTGTGTCGGATCTGGGTGGATTTTATTCAGAGACCAGGTTTTCCTAAGTATCTCTTAAAATCGATGTAGGAAAGTAAACTTTGGGGAGCTGGGGAGCAGCATAAAAATTTAATAAATATAAATAAGTAAAAAGCAGCAAGCAAAATGAGGAATGTACCTCTGCATCTGTCGGGATCCAGGAACCAAAAAAAGACAATGTAGAATTATTATTTTTGCTTACAGACAAGATTTGCTAAACCAAAGCAACTTTAGATAGTCCTCAAATTACAGCCGTTCATTTGATGACTGCTCAAAGCTACAACGGCACTGAAAAAAAAATGGAACTTAACAACCAGTCCTCGCACTTACGACTTCACAACACCCCCGCAGCTGTGGGATCAAAACTTGAGCAGTTATCAATCGGCATGTATTCACGATGGTTACAATGTCCTGGGATCACACAATTCCCCATTTTATGATCTTCCCAGTCAGCTTCTGCCAAGCAAAGTCAACAAGGGAATCCGGGTTTGCTTAAAGACTGCACGATTCACTTAACGACTGCAGAGATTTCCTTAAACTTTGCAAAAAGAAAAAGGCAAAATTGACCATGTCTCACTTTTAACTTTGCTTACCAATGCGCATTTTTGTAGTGATTGTGGTTGTAAGTTGAGGAATACCTGTATTTGCAGCACTAAATATATACAGGAAGGCCTCTACTTGCGAATCCAATTTGTGTTGCTAAGCAAAACAGTCGTTAAGTGAGTTTTGCCCCATTTGATGACTTTTCTTGCCACATGGCCTCTGCAGCATCCCCCAGGGTCACATGGTCAAAATTCAGACGCTTGGCAACCGATTCATATTTAGGACGGTCACAGTGTCTCCTGGAGTCAGGTGATCGATCCCCTTTTGCGACTTTCTGAAAAGCAAAGTCAATGGGGAAGCCAGATTCATTTAACAACCACAAGGTTCACTTAATTGCATGATGCGCTTAACAACTGCCTTGCTTGGAAAGAGAAACCTGAGCTCAATTGAAGTCATAAGCCAAGGACTACCTGTGGCTTGTAGGTCACTCTGGCATGTGAACCCATCCTACGAAAGAAAAGCAGGCGGATGTGATATTCACAAGAACAAAATTCCCTTTTTGTGAAAATATTTTTCCTTTCAGCCACTAGGGGGCAAGAGTGAGTTACAGAACACAAGCTTTATTTCAGGATTAAAGGCTTCATCTGGTTTAGAGTTTTAACACAGTCCTCTATTTATGACTGTCATTGAGCTTCCTTCCTTCCTTCCTTCCTTCCTTCATTCTTCCCTCCCTCTCTCCTTTCCTTTCTACCTTCTTCCCTCCCTCCCTCCTTCCTTTCTCTTTCCTTTCTTCCTATCTTCCTCCCTCCTTCCCTCCCTCCTTCCTCTTTCTTTCCTTTTTTCTTTCTTTCACTCTCTTTCTCCCTCTCCCTTGCTACCTTTCTCCCTTTCAGCCACTAGCCCTGTCTTTCTTCTTCCCTCCCTCCTTCCTTTCTTTCCTTTTTTCTTTTTCTTTTGTTCT